TTCGGTTTTCGGTTTCCCGTTTCCGTTCGTTCGTAGTAGTACGTAACGTAAGTACGTAACTTACTTTACTTAACTTAAGTTACGTACGTAGTAGTTACTACGTAGTGGTGTCGTCTCTCTCTCTCTCTCTCTCTCTCTCTCTCTCTCTCTCCATATATATCTATATATATATATATATGTGTGTGTGTGTGTGTGAGAGATTTGGGAGTTAAAATCGGTCTGTGGTGCTTCAGGTGGATACTTCCTCAATTGGGTCCTAGTTGGACATGGACTTTGACCTAGGCCCCGGTTGGGTCCAGATTATTGGACCTAGACCGACCCACCAGGTTGTATTGGGTTCAGGCTTAAATTAAAAAATGTTTTTATAAAAGTTTTTAACACATTTATAATATGTAAAAACTATGACTCTATCAGGTTGGATTTGTCTGGGTCAACTCCAACCTAGATGCGACCCACTGGATAAAATCCTGGATGGAACTGGATTTAATCCGCTGGTTCCAATATTTGGGTCTGAACCCCAGCCTGGGTCAACCTATCAGTTCCGTAGGTCGACCAAACCTGATTGCCACCCTATCTGTAATGCAGTTGTAATGTAGAGCATGCCCCTGCTCCTAGGTATCAGGGACCACCAACTCAAGAGTGGCATATATTACAGATAACTAAATTGTTTTTTCACTTAGCAACCAAATGTGTCATGGGAGGCATGGTGTGATCATGTGGCCTTAAAAAATATGTTCATAAGTGTCATCACCATTCAGTAGTGATGGTGATGGTGATGGTGATGGCAAGAGCAGGACTCACCACAACATAATGCCACCCACTGCTTTCCTCTGTCCATGCCTTAGTAATGGTGAAGACACTAATGATTATGGAGAATGGAGATTTTATTATTATGTGGATCATATTATGCCTTCGTTAGAAGATTGCATAAAGAAATAAATTTTAACTTGATTTTAATGGGTTTGCTCCACATTTCTTTTACTCCTAGTTCTGCCCATGATTAGATGAAAATTAGAATTAAGCGAAGGTTATATAACACAGTCGTAAGCATAATGATTTTTTTGTGCATGTCAATACACTAAGCACACGATATGAATCATTTAGGAAACTATTTTTTCATTTTTAACATTTTTTTTTAAAATATAAAAATGCTTATATCACCTAAAATCTTATAATTCTTTTTGAAGATGATATAAAAATATTTTGTATCTGAAAAGATTAGTTTTGATATTAGCATTCTTGAGGATTATTCTATATTACACTAACAAACACATTAAAAAAATCTATGCAGTGTAGAAAAAATCAAAACATAACGGTTAACCAGACATGGGCCCAGAAGCGGTTCAACCATTCTCATTGGGCAAGTCTCAAGCTGTCAAAAAAATGTTGAATAAATAAAAAAATACCAAAAAAAAATATAGTAAAATATGAAAAGTATATTAAAGAATGATTAAACAAAATACTTCCAAGTGAAGTTAAAAATTAATGAAAAATGGATTTTAAAGAATCAATTTGTATATCCATAAGTATTTTTAAAAATTTAAAAAAATGAGAAAATGTATAAATAAATATTAATGGCCAGAACAATTTATTTGCTATAATGATAAAAAACAAAAATGCATTACAAATAAAATCCCTTATTTTTTTAAGATTTTATATAATATTTCTACAAAAATTTAAAAATACTCGGCCGTTCATCAAAACCTGCCGTAACCATAACCGACCCGTTCTAACCGGGCAGTTACCCATTAGAACCCCGACTTTTCCTTCAATGCATCTATGCAACCTAGGGCCATGACCAAGTTTTTACTGTTTATTGTTCCTAAGCACGAGGCTTTAGACCACTTTAGGTTTCAATTTTGGACCGTAGAGGCATGACCCACATCTCAACCTTTAGCAAATAAAGGACATGTAAAGGTCTTTATAAGATGAAGCCAAGGCCAGAGTCTTTTATTACTCTTCCTTAGACTACTTTAGGTTTCAATGTGGTTGTATTTTTTTGTAACATGACCACCATTTCAATGTTGCAGATTTATTTATTTTATTTTATTAATATTTTTATTTATTTATTTATTTTTATTTTTATTTTTTATTTTTTATTTTTTTAGTAATTAAGTGGAAAAGAGAGGTCTCTATCCAATTTTTTAAGTAGATTAAAAAATTAGGAGTTAATTTTTTGAAGATATTAATAAGATAATATTAATGGTGGGAATGAAAATAACAACATGGCTAAGATTGTTTAAGATGGAAAGGGTTGAATTAGCGCTGGCTATTTGGATTAGCATCCGTATCCAACAACACCTGGCCAAAGCGCTTCAAGAATTTTGTAAAAGTTATTTTATAATGGGAAAAGTTTATATAGAGCCTACGCTCTAAACAATCAAGTCAGAGCCTACCTCAAATCTTCACTAGAAGAGGTTGTTTTGATCCTCAAATATCATCAAATTGATCATCTCGACATCAAGATACGTGGACATGATAAAAAAAATAGATTTCAAGTTTTGGAAGTAGTGCATCTTATAACACATTTTTTGACCATCAATTTTTAAGGTTTTCAATTTTCACAAAGATCTTTATTTCCATACGCGTGTCATTGAAACTAGATTCTGTTTGTAAGAAACGGAATAGATGAAATATAATTTAAAACTATCACAAAACTTTTCAATATTAAAACCATATTTCTCAATACTATTTGAAGGTGGGCTCTAATTTGATTGTTTAGAGCCTCGACTCTGTACAAACCATACCATTTAATAATTCATTGTATGACAAAGGAAAAATTTTATATATAGCAGACGCTCTAAACAATCAAATTTGAGCCTATCTCAAAGTTTTCGTAGAAGAAGTTGTTTTGATGCCCAAATATCCTCAAATTGATCATCTCCACATCAAGAAGCATAGACATGAGAAAAAAAAATATTTCAAGTTTTAGAAATAGTGTATTTTGTGACGCATGTGTTTGACCGTCAATATTCAAGATTTTCATAGATCTATCGATCTACACTATTTTTAAAACTTTTATAAATTAAAATTAAAATATATTTTAAAGCTATTACAAAGGTTTCCAGTATTGAAACCGCATTTCTCAATACTATTTGAATGTAAGTTCTAATTTGATTGTTTAGAGCCTAGGCTCTATACAAACCACACCCATATCTAAAAGGTCTAAGCTTTATGAAAACATGGTAGAACCTCACTTTCGAATCCTCACCGAGAAAGCACTTTAGCCATTGAAAATCTCCATAATTTCTTTAAAATCAATTCCCAAAATCAACTATAATACAAATCTTACATATATGTGAAAACTTATTTCTAGGGCAAAATAGACGGTTTAGATAACGTATCACAATATATACTATTTTCAAGGCTTAAAATCTTACTTTTTCACAACCATAATTGATTTGAAGATTTTTTAATGCTAGAACTACAATTTTCAATCAAAATATTCTCCTTTGAAAATCTAGATTTTTTAATGCTAGAACTACAATTTTCAATCAAAATATTCTCCTTTGAAAATCTAACAAATTTTAAGATGCACCAAATTTACACCATCAAGTTTAAATAAACAGTATAAACCACTAACCTAACTTCTATAAAAGTAGATGCCGCCTTGTATAAACTGCACTCCTTAAATTATTGACGGTACGCTAGTTAATGATTAATAATGACATAGAAAATAAATACAAGTCTTATAGCTCTTTTGAGGCTCAGCATACGCCATTCCCATTCCCATTGATGGGTGTTTTTCAGTTCCCTTCTACTGAAGAGGTCCATTGGAGGTTAAAGAGGTCCATTGGAAGAATTTAAAGGTCTTCTAACCCAATAGAAGAATAGAATTAGGGCAATGATCTAAGGGTGCGGTTTCTATAAGGTTGCAACCTTGAACAATCCAATTAAGGTGCACTTTAAATTTTTATCATATCATATAATTTTGTTATAAAAAATTATTGATATTATCTTAAAATCTATTTTTTTTTACTTAATTAAAAAAATTTAATTTTAAAAAATAATTAAAATTAAATAAATCCGTAACTATATGAAAATCTTAAAAATGAACAGCCTAGATAATGTGTTGCAAGATGCACTATTTTCAAAACTCAAAAACCTTTTTTTTTTCATATTCATACATCTCGATGTCGAGATGATCAATTAAAGTATTTTTTCAACATTAAAACAATATTTTCAATCGATTTTTGAAGTGCATATGTTATTCTACAATTTAAAATTACAATTATATACATTTTTTCTTTTAAAATTACAATTATATACATTTTTTCTTTTAAAATTACAACTTTATATACATTTTTTTGCCAATAGAACAATAAAATTAAGACAATGATCTAATACAACGGTTATATTATAGTGTAATACATCCACACTTCTAAAAAAAGCATATATGGCCCAAACTTTTACACACATTTTTCTTCTCAATAGTCAATCCCAAAAAAAAAAAAACACATTTGATTTGAACTTTAGTTACGGTCAAAGTAAATCCCCAACAACGAATCTAAACCATTCATTGAATTTTAAAATCTTAACTTTTAAAAATTCAAAATTATTATTTTTTAATATTATTCATCTAATACAAATAAAACTATCTTAAAAAATAAAAATAAAAAAAATCTTTCTAAAACTTAAATCTAAACATCTTATGAAAAACTTAAATCTAAACATCATATCAAGATTGACGGCCTTTGTTATTTGAGTTAAAAAAATACTTTCTCGATTATTTTTTCAAAAATTTAATAGTTTTTAAATTACTTTTTCAAAATTTTCCTTGGTTCGTTAGAATTAAAAAAGTGTAGGTTCTAAAATTTGGATCAAACAAATGCTCTAACATGATTTTTTTTAATATTATTGCATTATATTACTACATAGCCATAAAATCAATACCCATTATCTACTTTTGAATTATCTATACTTGAAATAAGAAGATCACAATCATGTCCACCGTCAAAATGAAGGGTTGGAAGTCTACCATTGATCATACTCAAAACTCCAAAAAAAGAAAAACTTGTGTGAACTTCAATTGTGATCAGATTCAAAATTCCCCAAAAGCCTTTGTGAGCTTCGAACACAAATTTATCCATATGACTAGATATGAGAGTTTTTTAAACCAGTTAATATGTGTGAATATATTTTTATAATATTTTCACGTGTACCAAACTCGACCTTAGCGATCTACCCAAATTGTTAGATTATATCCATTAATCGAGCAAATCTATATACACTTTAAAATCCTAAAATTTAACCGTCCCAAGTATTACACTACTTTTTAGGATTTTGAGATTATTCTTGTGTCGAAGTCGATATGATCGGACATTCTTGTAAATCGCCAGTCTCGTGTAAGTTTATTTTTAAAGTAAAACTTATGTCAAAACTTGTGATGGCTTCAAAATCCATTTGAAAGCCTAATTACAAAAAATTTTAAAAATGAAGATATCAAAAATAATACAAGTCTTAACTCAATCCACAAGTCCTACATAGCAGTCCAAAGAATTAGAGACTATTTTTCATCATATCTACATATCTCGAGGTAGAATTAAGCTTCACATAACTCTCTTTTCTACAATATAATTCTTTGGTACACTCTTTACAAATCTCGCACAATACCAACCTCTAATAAAACGATTGATATTTTTTGTGGACTTTTACCTTTGTTAGTGCACATAGTCCTGACATGCGCACTCTATTTATACCGTGCTATCAAACCAATAGTTCGACCAGTAGTCTGGCCGATCCATGGACATCAACCTTCCGTCTGTATCCTATGTTAAACGAGTCTGTATACTATACTAAACGAATGGTTCGACTGGTGGCCCGACCGATTAAACCGGAGACCATTAACCATAAGATCGAAACAAAAACAAACAAAAAAAATACACCGACTAAATTATTTTTTACCAATTTTGGCACCGATATTGACCGATTCAATAAACAAAATAGTACTAACTAGTATCTTATTTTACCAATTTTAACACCGATATTGACGAATTCAATAAACAAAATAATACTAATTTTTTTAATATATTACATATTTTTAAATTATTATTCATATTTTTATCTCTTAGATTGTTCAAATCGAAGTAAATCAATAGACTTCCAATCAAACCAGTTCTTAGTAATCACAAAAACTATATTAATCAATCGAAGTATATTTAAAAATACCACTTCCTCCTGTAGGGGTCAGGCTTAATTAATGTAATTAACACGCCCAATATAGGTAATTAATTTACAAGCTTCGAATTCATAATACTAATAAGCAATACATACATTGCTGCACTCCCAGTCCCACTCCAAATAAGAAGCTCAACAGAGCCTCACGCCCCACATTCAAAAATAAAATAAAATAAAATAAAAATCGCACCAAAATCAAGTGTGCAAGGAAGACTGAAAACACAGACCTCGAAAAACCAGAGAGAGAGAGAGAGAGAGGCATAAAAAAACCAGAGAGATTACAAATATTTGCTTGGAGGTGGAGCTCCGGCAGTGGGGTAGACGGTATCACAAGTATCCACTTCATGGTGAAGGCCAAGGCCATGGGCATGGGTGCGTATACCAGCTTCAGGGACATGCAAACTATGGGAGTGCTTGGCATGCTCCTTTTCAGCCTTGTGCTCCGCCTTGGCTCCGTGATGCTGCATCTTCGCCTCGGCAACCTTTGCTTTCTCACGCTCATCTGCAATCTCCTTTTCCTCTTTGTTCCTTGCTCTTGCCTTCTCAGCCTGCAAAATCTCTCAACACTAACATTAAGGAACAAATATCAATTTTTTCTATGCCTTGTACCATGGAAAAAGCAACCCACTAGAACCTACTTTTATGGTGTTTTTTTCCCTCCTTGCATGAAAATAACAGTAATAACAAAATCTTCAAAAAATAACACGACCGAATATATCTTCTCCACATCATTTTCAATCTATAAATTCCTGAATATCTTGAAAAAATATACCAAGATTTTCATGGTTCTTCTTTTTCCTTTTTCCACGTTGTTTTCAATAAAAGAATGACCTATTAATCTTCCTGTCTATTTTCAAGATTTTCAGAATGATATTCCATAAATTGTTAAAGAAAGACAATAATATTAAAAAATAATACTTTTCCATATTATTTTCAATAAATTGTTCAAAAAAGGAAATCAATATTTAAATTTGTACCTTTTCCTCAGCTTTGGCCTTATAAATATCAGCATGCTCCTTAGCTGAGCTCACCATGTTGCTCACCTTCTCCTTTGCACTCGCCATTGCTTGCATTTTCTCCCTCTAAATCTCAATCACAATTTTCTCTCTAAATCTCAATAACTAAAGAAACCCAATTAATCAGCAGCAAAAATAACGCCAAAATTATTTTTTTCTATTTTTTGACCTTTCCTTTTTCTTTTTTATCGACAACAAAAGCAAACCTTGTGCCCCTTTATTGAGCCTTTGCTTTTTGTCCGAAAGCTCACTACATGCTGCCACGTGTACGAAACGTGGTGTGGCGATAGCGCGCATGAAGTCGTAGGGCTCAGCTTGCGCCACGTTTTAGGGTTCATAATAGTCTTCGCCCACGTAGCATCCAACGATCTCCCTCAAACGGACGGTCCAGAAAATTCCTTTTGAAATTGTCTCTTTATTCGTTCAAAAAGATATTAAATGTTCAATTTTGGAGGGAAATTTAAACAGCAAATTTCTCTATTTTTTAATGAAAAAGTAGATTAGATTTTCTACTATTCACATTTTACTCTCATTGCCCCATTGTTGTTTTGGTGTATAATGTATTAATGTAAGTTTTTAACTATTCATTAAATTAAAAAAAAAGTTTATATAAGATTGTAATTTTAAAATATAGAATCAAAATTGTACATCAAAAATCCATCATAAAAGGTTGTTTGGATGTTGAAAAATCCTCAAATTGATCATCTCAACATATAAGAATGTGTAAATAAACCACTATTTGAAGTCCACAAAATAGTGTCTTCCAACATATTATCTGGACCGTCTGTTTTCAAGATTTTCATATGTTTATATATCCACTTGATTTTAACCATTTATATAGTTTAAAATTTTATAAATAGATTTTCAACCCATCTTAAAAAATATATATTAAAATTATATTTATGACAAAATTTTGAGATGCTCCTTAATTAGATTGTTTAAAGTTAAACCAGATCAATCTAAAAAAAAACAAATGATTGCCTTAAGTTCGTAAACATATTCCGGACATTTCTAGTTTAACTAAAATTAAAATATTATACTATTATCAAAAGAAAAATTATTGTATGCATGGGGGCGCAGTCACTAAGTGACATAACATCCATCTTAATTCCAAATAGACGGACCCTACAAAAGAGTTAAAATCAATAGCCTAAATATATATATAATTTATCAGTTTTAGTTTGAAATTTTTATTTTTATATATTTGTGATCTCCATATTAGGGATTACGTATTTTTTAAAAAATTAGGTTCAATAGCCATCTGAAAAATAGTTTTTTAATAAGGAACTCATTTTTATAGATGAGTCCGAAGTCTTATAGAAACTTTGCCTTATCAAAACTTCAATCTCTATTGTAAAATATGATGCAAATAATTATTTTTAATTCTTAAAATAAAAGTATGGCTTGTCTTACATTGAGATTACTCATTTATGCATATTGTTTCTGAACCGCAAAAACATTTTGTCCCATAAAATATGGCTAGTCTTATTGCCGTCCCATAGAATTTTCCCTTCATTCTCATTGGTACGTAGCGACACATAAAACCCTAAATGCACATCTCCACTTCGCCCATCCAACTCTAATTCTATGTGTAACGTCTTTCTCGATCTCTCAATTCTCTTGGATTATTGACCCTAGATATCGGAAAGAATATCTTCTAGGTATTTATTGTTCATCAATATTTAACTACTTCCTTGTTTCTACTCCTGTTATTATTAAATTTGCATTCCATGTATTATGTCTTAATCTTGCTAATTTTAAAACCTTTAGTTTCTAGAGCATCCTTCCAATGTTCTAACTTTACGTTAACGTTATTTCTAATCTCATCGATCAAACTATGTCATCCAACAATAACATACACCACAGTACTTCATCTTGCAAGAGCCTAGTTAACTCATCTATAACCCAAAAAAAGATATAAGGGCTTGGCGCTGACCCCTGATACAGGCCCATTGTTACTAAGAACTCACATATCTGTCCCCTAGTTGTTCGTACACTAGTTAGTGCTCCCTCGTACATGTCTCTCTATGTTAATATAGCCTTTGGTGTTTCTTTTTTTTTTTCGTACATCCACTAAATTAATTATCAAGGTGTCTTATTATATTCTTTCTTTAAATCAATAAAGACCATGTGGCTAAATTGGAAAATGGCTTCGATAGTTAACTTTCATGACATAAAATCAAGCAAAATACAATCATTTCAAGTCTTAGCCATTGCTCAATCACTTTCCTACAACTTCATAATATAACTCATAAGTTTAATCCCTTGATAGTTCGTACAATTCTATATATCTCTGATAGTTCGTACAATTCTATATATCTCATTTATTCTTGTAAGTAGGTACCATAATACAATCATTTCAAGTCTTAGCCATTGCTCAATCACTTTCCTACAGCTTCATAATATAACTCATAAGTTTAATCCCTTGATAGTTCGTACAATTCTATATATCTCATTTATTCTTGTAAGTAGGTACCACAATACTTTTTCTTCATTTGTCTGATATTTTCTTTGTTTTCAACACATTGTTGAATAATTTGGTAAGCATATGCCAATATCCCCAATGCACTTCCAAACTTTTATTGTGATATCATCTGGTCTTAAAGCATTTCCTATTTTCATCTTTTTCAAAACTTCAGATATCCCAATCTTGCGAATGTAACTATGACCTCTGCCCTCATTTATGTCGTAGATTCCTCTAAACGTTGTGTTCCTATAGTATTTGTCATTTAATAATTTTTGAAAATATGTTATCCACCTTTCGTTGACCACATCATCTTTCACCAAGATCTTCTGATACTCACTCTTAATGCATCTAATATGATCTAGATCCTTATACTTATTATCTCTCATTTTTGCTCATTTGAATACATCTTTTTCGCCTTCTTTTGTCTCCAGCATATGCTTTAAATTTAGCCATACAAGTTTTGATCATTTCTATTACATAACCATGCTTTATAATATAATCGTTTTTCACTAATAACCTTTTGAATCTCTTCACTCAACCACCAAATTTCTTTGTCAAAATTTTTTTCCCTCTAGTTTTTCTTAAAACTTCTTTCGCCACTTTCTTAATATAGAAGATCATCTTATTCCACATAGTACTAATTTCGTGAATAGAATTCCATTTTCCTTTTTAACTAATTTATCACGTAGTTTCACTCTTTCTCTTCCAACCCTTTAGGTAGACATCCATAACCATGGCCCTGTGTTGTGTGGTCAAATTCTCTCCTAGGATAACCTTGCAGCCTTTACATGATGGTTGATCTATTTTCTTGACTAGAATGATGTCTATCTGGCTTTTATACGCTCTACTTTTATAAGTTATTAAATGTTCATCTTGTTTTCTTAAGTAGGTGTTTTTTATTGCAATGTCGTAGGCCATAGCAAAATCCGGACTAGTTTCACTCATCTCATTTATTTCCCCAAAATCATATCCCTTATATACCATTTCGTGTCGTCTACTATCTTTTCCTACATGACCATTTAAGTCCTCTCTTAAAAATGTCATCTCTTCATTTAGTATTTTTTGGACTACCTTATGCATGTCCTCCCATAATTGTCTCTTAATTTTATCTTCTACTCCCTACCTGTCGTGTATATACCTCCCCAAACATGAGTTTGATTAATGGAAGCCAATTAACTACTCTCTTGACATTAACTACTTTATCTGTTTAATATTTATATACTATTATACCTACAACATTTCCCTTTTTCACTTAGCTTCCTATAAATAAGCTATGTTAACTCTTATGCATCTCATTGTATCACTAACTCCGTGCTCTTACCTGTTAGCATTCTTACATTCAATATGATTATACGGATCCTACTATCTTAGACTAATTTATTTAGAATGACGCCGGAACCCTTGCTTGCTTATCATCACAATTGGGCGTTGTTTGCGGTGCATCGCTTTGGGGACATACCCTAGCTAACTTTTGCTCATTTCTTACCGCATCTATGTATCGATGCAACATATTGCTTTGGGGGAACGCTCTACATATGCCTTGCTTATTTCTCAGTGTAGCCAGGTTGTACAGTTGTCCCTTAAGGGTAACACCCTATCATGAGCATATAACACCTTTACATGATAAGATGTGGCAAAATTTTATGCTACCTATTTATCTAACGCAACCCACCTTTTTTATCTGGGCTTGGAATGAATTAAGGGAAAGTTTAAGATCCTTAGCATTATTAGATCAAGAGCATCCGAAACACTAAAAGGAAAATTATAAAAAAGTAAAGGCTCTAAAGGAAGGAGAAAAACGGAATGTGGAACAATCCTTAGGCTTGTAAATACTTGAGGTAGTGAACCGCTGGTGGTGGTGTTACATATCATGCACTCTCTTCTAATTCCAAAAATCATGCCATTGACTTAACCATACTAGGAACATTGAACTCTTTCTATTCTATAGTCTTTTCCACCTTATCAAAAGAACCAAGATTATCTTTTCATAATTTTAGTCTAATGCCCAAAGATTAACTAATGTAGCTAATAGAATGTAGTTATCACACCCCAAGTTTTATAGCATTAAAATTCTTTGAGTTATGACAAGCTATTCTTAAAAAACAAAACAAATTCGAAATTTTTACTATATATTGCTCCAAAACACATGCACACACACACGCGCACACACACACACACACACATATATATATATCTATAGATCTTTATGTTATTATAAGTTGTGAAATAGATAGTCTCATTTCAGAAATTTTAGTGTTATAAAACTTGTGGTGTGACAGTAGTATATGCTATCAAACAATGGAACTTAGGTGTAAATTTTGAATATAAAAAGAATTTCATTTTAAAATAAAGAGAAAAATTTATGAAAAAATCTCCTTTGATTATTAAAGCTATCAAAAAGTGGGACTTAGGTGTTAATTTTCAATAAAAAAAGTTTCATTTTAAAAATAAAGGGAAAAATTTATGGAACAAATCTCCTTTGATGATTAGAATTAAAAAAATAGTTGAATACTCTTTTTTTTATTGCACAAGCCCCATTTTTAAGAGTGTATATCATATTTTAATTTTACTCTTTTTGTTATATCAGATTAATTATATCAGATTAAGTTCAAATTTAGAGAATTGGTCTTATCAACACTTCACATTTATAAAAATTTATTAAAAAATAATTTAAAATAAATAAAATAACTATAATACCTTTTAAATTTTGAAATTTGTAAAGTTATATAATTAAATTAAATTTAATTATATATTTTTTTTCTAAGAGAAGCATGGATGCTTAAGATTCAAGCTTTATCGAGCATATAGAAAAAATCAAAATACGTTATAAAGTGAGATTTAAGTTTCAAATATAAAATTCATGAAATTACTCTTGAATTTTTAAAATAAAAAATTGTATTAATCTCCCATCAAAATTATGACTTCTGTGAACAAAGAGCGCCAAAATCGTACTCGAGAGGATCCGTTTCGGTAAATTTCGCTCTCGATAAATTTCAGAAAAATTTCGGATTCGGTAAATTTCAGTGACTTAAGACACAAGGTGCAGTGCCCTGTGACCTGAATCTAGCACCATTGTAGCTCCATATTTTTTTGGATGTTTTGATTCTTTTTTCTTCTCTGGAGAAACCCTAGAATTATCGCGATGGAGTTAGGGTTTGGGGAGAGGGATTTCACGGCTTGTTGCGGTAGCAAGAAATTTGCAGAGGAGATGAGCAGAGCCGGGCCCTTCACCTCTCTTGAGCAGGCATTAGAAGCATCAAGAGACATCTGGTTTAACAAGGTTTTGATTTTTCCCTTTTTGGGTTTTTCACCTTTGTAAAAACTCTGGTTTTTGTGTTTTTAAGTATATTTTTCTGGGTTTTTTTTTTGTTATTATTCTGGTATTCAAGTACTAGTCTTTTGGTAATTTCCCGGGAATTAGATTTTGATTGAATTTTTTAGTGATTTTTGTGAAGTTTCTTTCATGAAATTAATTGTGGTTTGGTTCATTTCTATTAATATAGATCCAGAGTGTATTAGTAAGTTCTATGGTTTGTTCCATTTTCACTGAAATATCGTGGAATTAAACTGCATTGGGAAAAGTTTGCTTCTTTTTGGTGAAATTTGTATGATTTTAGGTATTAATTAGGGTCTGTTTCACTCTGAAAATTTCTCGGATTATATTGGCATTATCTGCAGCTTGCTTCATTTTGTAATAAAATTTTTATTGGGTTTCAATGGATTGAACTAAAAGATTTAGCGTGTTTACAATTCTATCTAGTTTTTGTTTAATTATATGTAAAATATTCCTGATAGAGTTTGAGAGGTCTGCTTCATTTAGAGCAAAGTTCTATAAGGCATCGTCAAATTTTTATAGTTTTTATTGATTTTTATGGTAGATTATTGGGATATTTGCTCTCTTGTGAATAATGAATTTTAGGAATTTACCAGAAATTTTGACATTTCGTATGGTCTTTTCATATGAAATTCTGTTGGGTTTCAGGAGTTCCATTTTCTGTAGAACATGACTTTGGCAAAATGTTCCATAACATGGTAGTATACTGGTAGGGTTTGTGTTATTTTCATGTAGCTTTCTATGCTATTCTGGAATTACGGTTTTTGGTTAGGGTTTTAGTAAGAGAACTGTAGGCTTCTATCACTTTTTGCTTCCATCTATTTTTTGCAACACTTTTTTTTTTTTCCCCTTATTTTGAACCCTTTTTTTTTATTTAGTTTTGAGGCTTTGCCTTATTTTGAAGCTTTCTGATTGTAGGTTGATATAAATGGCTGGCTTGAAGCTTTTGCTGCTCACCCACAAATTGGAGAAACCCCATCTGTTAATGAGAAAAATGAGACAAGTGCAAAGTGAGATCTTTTTCTTCTATACCGTTTCCTATTGTAATATTTAATTGTTCATTCTATTGATAACACTTGGATTTGGTATTTTGATTTCAATATGCAGTTCACATCTGTTGATTGAGGTTTTCTCCCTTTATCATTTCCTCTTTTAGTGAAACTTAAAACTAATTTAACAAGAGTTGGTCAATTTTTAGGTGGAGCAAAGGAGAGCAATCAATAGCTCTTGCGACTGCTAGTAATTGTAGTTTGCAGGTATGAGCCACTCTTCTGAGACTAACAATTTTTGCTAATTTTGACAATGTAGAATGTTTCTCTAATTTCTAGTATATTATAACACAGCTTGGAATTCAAAGACACTTAATTTTTTTTAGTATCAATAAGCAATGTGCCTTAATATTTTCAATGAATGATTCTACAGTGGTTTCCGAATGACTGTCCATACAAACCGCATCTTTTGATTATCAGACTGTTGCTCAAATGACACAATGATATCGGTTATGAATAATGTTAAAGGTCATAATTTCAAAGACACATAATTTTTTTTAGTATCAATAAGCAAATGTGCCTTAATATTTTCAAATGAATGATTCTACAGTGGTTTCCAAATGGCTGTTTATACAATCCGCGTCTTTTGATTATCAGACTCTTGCTCAAATTACACAATGATACCGGTTCTGAATAATGTTAAAAGTTATAATTTAAACCAATTCATTAGTACCACTGTTCATACAAACCGCATCTTTTGATTATCAGACTGTTGCTCAAATTACACAATGATATCGGTTATGAATAATGTTAAAAGTCATAATTTAAACCAATTGTGATTAATGAATTGCTATTATTGTCTTTTTTATAGGAACTCTCTGAATGGAATTCCTGGTATAAGCAAAAGTTTGGATTTGTTTTCCTTACATGTGCATCTGGGAAGAGCTCAGCTGAAATACTTGGAGAATTGAAGGTTAGATCTCTGTGTATGTCATAATTTGTGCTATTTTCTTTTTTCATGACTTATAATGTCATTGGATTCTTTTTTTTTTTTTCGGTGTGCGTGTTTGCACATGTGTGTGTGTGAGAGAGAGAGAGAGAGGAGGGGGAGAGAGAGAGGAGGGAGGAGGAGGACGGGAGGAGGGGAGGAGGGAGGAGGGGGGAAGAGAGAGAGGTATCTTGCTTTCCATTCAAGAGCTAGGTTGAGAGTAATACACTGAGAATTAATAGAATTAGTTCTCTACGTGATTTTTTTCATTGTCTGTTTTGGCTTGTGTGGCTAAACATGATTTTATGTCTATTGAAATTGTTATTTTCATTCTGTTTTGGCTTGTGTGGCTAAACATGATTATGTCTATTGAAATGGAATGTTTTTGCAGAAACGCTTCTCAAATAGGCTCATTGTTGAACTTGAGATTGCTGCTCAGGAGCAGATGAAAATAACAGAGTTGCGCCTTGTAAAGCTCTTTGATGCCAGAGATTCAAGAACTCCTCATGCCATTAACCAGCCTCCTACTGGCTCCATGTTGAAACAAGGTAGGGTAATTGCACTTAAACTGGCTTGCACCTAGGTTTTTGCGCAACACAATTTCAATACTTTATGTTCGTGTATAAATTCCAATATTAAATGGGGTTGGATCATTTTTTTAATTTTAACTGTTTTCTCTTTCATTAAACCATATTGAAATGTTCAATAATGTTTAGTTGCCTTGAAAGGCCTTTATATAATTTCAGTTGGAAGTTCCAACAGCAAAAAGAATGCATGTGTACCTTCACAAACTCTGTGACAAAACTGGCTGGAAATGTTATAGTATAACTACTCATTCCTAGTAATGTTAAGGGTGTCTTTGTGTGTTCCTTTTCTCACTAAGGCATCAGTTCCAGCATTGGGTTTCTGCTATATATTCTTTAAAGAGACTACAATGCTTAATGCTATCTATTTAACTTCTGAGAATATTGCATCTAGTTTCCATTTCCCCAGCCTGTGCCCATGATGTAGTTCTCTGAACAAGTGAATAACCTTCCACTAAAAGGTGACCCCAGGATGGATCAAACTCTTCAGGCCTTGAAGCAAAGCACAGGCTTTTGCTTCCACGGTGTCAGTGGTGCCAAGCAGTCTCGAGAAAGATAAAAGCTCTTTTCCTCAATCATCTGTAAATAGTTTCCAGAAGAGCTGTCATGAAGATTCATCCTAACAGAACCTTGTGACAGTGATATAAGGCAATATGCTTTCAGTGGCTCTATGGTCAATTAAAACATATCCCTAGAATTCCTTTCTTAAAGGCGGTCCATAGTGTGGTAGGGGTCTTGATCTTGTTGATGATGGTTGAGTTGTTTGGCCCAAGCAGAATGAACTAGCGTCTATTAAATGATCGAGGGTAGTACAAGCCTTACATTTTTATTTGAGCTTCTACTGTCTATAGTATTAGGGGATGCTTGAATGTGCCCGATGTCACTAATAATTCACTTTTCGGATAAAAGTATTGGCTATGATGATTTGTATGTTTCTTGATAGTCTCTTATAAAAATATCTATGATATACCTTTCATTGGATTCCTATATGTGCTGTTAAAATGTTGTATTATCTTTATCCAGTATAATTTACCTTCTTCTGTCAGGGCGTTTTCTATTTGTTTGGCAACATAATCTCTCGCACTTCATGACACAGAAGAAAAATTCAAAAAAAAATTTAATATTTTTTTTCTTAGGGATAGGAAGAGATAAGTTAGGTGGGCGTGAGTTTTTGGTGTGTTAGTTGTTTTGGGAAGCCTTATCGTTAAACCATAGCAAATAGGTAGGGGTTTTTATGGACTTTAGGAGATTTAGTTAGATTTAGTTAGAGATTTAGGGGTATCATGTAGAAAGAAAGAAAGATTTAAGGAGATCTAGATATGGGAAAAGATAATGGATAAAGATTGAGGAAAGGAGGAGGAAAATAGGGCTGAGAGAGAGAGAGTTTTAGGCGTGAGAGAGAGTTTTAGAGTGAGAAAGAGAGCTTTATTTTTTGGGTTCCTTTATTTATTTATTTATTTATTTTTGAAGTCTATTTAAAGGGAAGAAGTCCCTCATTGTGAAGAATATAGATCAGATTGAGTAAAGTTGATCTTGTGAAAATATATTATTGGGGTGGATTCCCTTGCAAACCTTGAGAAGGGTATATTCTCTCAAACTTTAATTTTATTTTTATTTATTTTTGGTTTATTATTATTTCTTCCTGTATTAGTTGGTATTAGAGCAACGAACCCAAATCTAATCTTGCTATGGATGATCGCCTAGGACAAGTTTTAGAAAATTTGACCAAAGTCATGGACGATGTTCGAACCGAATTTCGTGAAATGATCAGCAATTACAACAGTTGGAGAATAATCTTCATCACGAAGAGGGTGCTCGCAACTATGAAGATCTGACACCAGATTTCGTCATAGATCGAGACCCACGACTAACTAAGGGTGTCGATCTTGATTGTGACCTCACATTGTGATGCAAGAACCACGATCTGAGGAGCATCCTCGTGATCTTGGTTTCAGCTCATTTTTCCCAAGTTTTACAAGGAATTTGAAAACGAAAAAGAAATCACGATTGAGCTCGAGATCTCAATGTTCTACTTCGAGATAAGCACGAAGCAGATGACTCAAACTATTGAAGAAATTGAAGAAAAAGTACCAAGGAGTGTGGTGGGACTTCATCACCAACTTTTGAGAAGGCCACTAAAAGATTTGAGTTCGATAAGCTCGAGGTCGAGCTTCTCCCAACCCAGGGAGAATGACGCAGAAGACTTTTTTTTTTTAAATTTGAATATATATATATATATATATAGGGATAGGAAGAGATAAGTTTGGTGGGCGTGAGTTTTTGGCGCGTGAGTTGTTTTAGGAAGCTTTGCCTTTAAACCATAAAAAATCATTAGTTAAGTAGGGGTAATCTTTGAAATTCCTATTTTCATGTACTTAGGAGATTTAAATAGACATCTGGGGGCACCACATATGAAGAAGGAGAGATTTAAGGAGATCTAGATATGGGAAAAGATAATGGATACAGATTGAGGAAAGGAGGAGGAAAATAGGGCGTGAGAGAGAGAGAGTTTTAGGGCATGGGAGAGAGAGAGTTTTAGAGAGAGAAACAAAGTTTTATTTTTTGGTTTCTTTTTTTTGTTTTTTTGTTTTTTTTCTAAAGTCTATTTAAAGGGAAGAAGTCCCTCATTGTAAAGAAGAGAGATTGGAATTGAATAAAGTTAATATTGTGAAAAGATCTTTCTGGGGTGGATTCCGTTGCAGACCTTGAAAGATGGTATATTCTCTCAAAATTTTATTTATTTATTTATTTTTTAATTTTTTAATTTTCTCCCTACATCACTTCAAAATTTCTATAAAGAAAACCCAAAGAGTTAGATGTCTCTCTCTATAAGGGGACATATGATAATTGGAAAGCGAGGGGTGTTTGTTTGGGAGAAGGTTTGTCTCTTGAAGATTAACCTTCCCTATTACTGTAGCACTTCCGCATTTGATGCGTATGGAGTGCTACAATTAAAAGTTCTTAGTTCTATATTGCACTCAAATGGACATACCCACGGAAGCCAAACCTTCGCAAGGTTTTTTCGTGCAGGCCTCGCGGTTTGAAGGGGAAAACCCCCTTCAAGCGCTTTGCTATACCTTTCTCCCAACCTTTCCCAGCTGCTTGTGATTTGAGATTCTCTGTCCCCTGCAAAGCCCTAACCCGCCTTCAACCTGGTGCCTCTCTCTCTCTATATCTATCTTCTTCGTCTCTCTCCCATTTGCTCTCTCTCTTCCTGTGCTAACCGAAATCTTTTGCTCTCTCTCCTAAACCCCAAAACTCTCTTTCCTCTATCTCATGGTCTCTCCCTGCAAATCCCTCTCTGCTGGCCCAAAAATCTCTCTCTCTCTCCTTTCTAATCCAAATCTCACTCTCTCTCCTCTCTTTTTCTCTGGAACCCATAAATCTCTCTCTCTCTCTCTCTAATTCCTCTCTCATCTGCTTTCTCTCCCTTTCCCTTTGCTAACCCAAAATCTCTCGCTCGTTCTCCCTCTCTCCTCTCTCTCTCTCACTGAAACCACCAAATCTCTCTCTTGCTCTCTCTCTTTGCAATAGTAGTGAAAAGATCTACAAAAGTAGGAAATTGTGTTTGAGGTATGGAAGCTGCAATGGAAATGTGTACCTGCAAGTTTTTATCTTATATTTTTCTTGAGAGAACTTTAGATTTTTTGTTATAATGTAGGCATGTTGTGTGCTGTTTTCCTTTTGTTTCATCACTTGTGTCTTGTCATTGTGCTCTCTTTCTTTTTTGAGCCACTTTGGTGGTACCTTTTATATTGTTGCTTTCCTTTCCGCTAGCTGAATGGCTCAGATATTTGATTGAAAGGATTTGTCTAGGTAATTAATAAAATTTCAAAAAATTCAGAAGTCTTTGATTGAGTGTATGCGTTAGCATTGAAGTTACTAGGCTGAGTCCTTGTTTAAATTTGAATTATAATAGAAGTTAATAAGTTTGCCTGCGTGCTTGTGATCTTTCTGTTTTGTTTACTTGTAGATTTGCATCCCTGGTTTTTTTTTGGTTCTTTTTTGTTGGTTCATGATTATCTTGGATGTTATGTGCTTGTGATTTACCCTACAATGTCACATCATCTTGGTTGCTAGTACTTGCTAGATGCTGGTATATTTTCCAAGTGCTTGGTTGGTCGCTAGGTAATTGGTATATGCTTTGTTTAACTATGGGATCTTTTAATTGCATTCGACTAGTCTCTCTCCCCCTCTCTCTTCTTTCTTCTCGCTCTCTCAATCTCTGTCCTAGTCTCTCCTTCTCTCTCTCTCTCTCTCTCTCTTCTCTCTCTCTCTCTCTCTCTCTCTCACTCTCTCTGATTTTGACTGTCAACTTGGGGAAATATTCTGAAGTCCGTGCATTCTTTTCTTCCGTGTTTTTTTAATCTACTTCTATATGAAATTAGTATATAGATATTGGTTTTGGTATTAGCCATGATACTCCTGTTTTCGGGTTAAGTACATAGACTTTGATTTTTCAGTATTAATGGGGGAGTAAGGGGGATGTTTGTTGTATGTCTAGTTTGGGATTTCTAGTTCTTCGGAACAAAGGAAAGACTTTACAATGCAGATGGATGATAGTATGTTGATACTATGTTGGTACGTGCATATGTACATATATACATACAAGCATAGAGCATACAAACATGATATACATTAGAAGTACATGGACCCTACAACAAGGATGAAGCAAAATCTCACTTAATTGCTATATGTTGGAGTGTTCAAGGATGATTTTGTGGGAAACCCAATCATTTGACATCGAATGTGGTATGGTATTTAAAGAGAAGTATGGTGAACTTCTTAAATATAGCATAATATATTTGTGTTTTTTTTCTCTCTCTGAAGGGATGCAGCCTCACTCATCATCTGCAAGTATAGCTGCAATTTAGGAAACAGATCAAACATGGCTGAAAGTGGTAGAAGAATTCCCCAGTGGACCTCAAAAGAGGACGAATTCTTCATTGATATCATGGTAAAAGAGATCAAGAAAGGGGGAGACTTTAAGGATGCATGGCAACGGATGATGAAGACCATGAGAGACAACTTTGGGGAGTTGTATGATTGTGAGAGGCTGAAGAGTAAGTACAAGTTCTTTAGGAATTTGTACAATAATGTCAACGAACTCCGCAATATATCAGATTTTGGCTGGGACGAAGGAAAGAGGATGGTGACTGCTGAACGGCTGTATGCGCGGATGACATAGTGGTGAGTGACGAGCCCTTTCCATCCCTTTTCATATGCTTGAAGATGTTTCGATGCAATGGTCCACCAAAATCAATATGTGTTTTGTATTTGCAGGCAAATGAATGGCCAAAGAAATATCATAAGATTGGAGAAGATATTCTCTGGTGGGTTGGTAAATGGGTCGCCTATGTTAAGTGGGGGCTGGCCTTTCTTCAGGTGGGAGTGACCTTCAAGATACTGGTGGGCAAGGCGCCGACACATCATTTGATGCCCTCTACATAGCAGTGCCACAAGTAGAGCCGGAAGTTAAGGAGGATATCGGCTCATCCCCCTCTGTTTGGACACTGTTCTCTGGGACAAAGAGGCGATGCTCTCAGGCTCCAACAACTCAACGCCGAAGGAGGGGGAAACCGACCACCAAGGAGACCATAGCTGCAGCTATGACAGTGATGGCAGAGATCATAAGGAGTTTGTGAGTAGCCGGAATGATCCTGTCTTGGCCGCTGCTTCATTGGCCAGGAAGAATAGGAAGGAGTGCATACAAATTGTTGAAAGTATGTGGAAGCGAGGGGAAGTTGATGTTCATGTCATCCCAAAAGGCATGGCGGATATTTCAAGATGCTTCAAAGGCTGGGATGTTTTTAATCTTGAAGGAGTCAAGGCATCAAAAGCCTTTCTTGGAGGATGAGACCTTAATCTGTGTATTGGAACTATTAGGGATACTTGTGTATTGGAAGTTCTAGGAATACTACTAGGTGTTTAATACTTTCCTCCTATGTATATAATGGAAGTTGTTTTGGAGATGGGCTGTCTGGTGGCCAACCATGTCAAGGGAATCAACCAAACATGCATGATTAGGTGCTACTTGAGTTTGACTCTTATATGAGCGGACGCTTTTGAATCATGATGCATTTTGAAGTGTGCTTTGATGGGGAGAAACAGAGCATTACATTTTAATTTGATAGTTTCTGTCATAGGTAGACCGTTCTTGGTGGGATGTTTATATGTTTGCATCATGACACAATGTTCAGTATGATTCATATTGCATCATCTTAAATTATTGACCTCAACATCTTTTATGGTTGCTCTTGAAGGTGGTATGTTCACTTTCCATTTATCCACATCAGAAACACACACAGACCTCTCTCAACAACAAAAATGACAGTGACATTGATCATGTGGTATTCATATGGGTTTTTTCTCTTTCAAATTTTGTGGTTTAGGCATGGAGAGTTGTTGATAGCACAAGTAGAGCTTATTGGAGACGATTGCACTGTACAATAAAGAAAGATAGAGGGCAATTATGCACAAAAATAAAGAAGATAGGGATTAATCATCACAAAAAAGAAAGAATACTTTATTGTATAACAATAATGTTATAATGTATTGTATTACATTACTCAACACCGCAGTGGATGTTGTAGAAGATAACATTGGCTTCCCCCTACATACACACACACACACACTCTCTCTCTTTCTCGTCCTAAGTCAGTGGCTGTCTTTTCTTTATAGGAATACATGGACTCTTCTAAGTGAGTTTTTGTTTGTCTTTTGGATTGGATACTTGTGAAAAGGCCATATTATTAATGGCATCTCTGTTTGGGAGAGGGAGAGAGAGCATAATGGACTCCTTATACATTTGATTTGAACCTTTCATTTTGTTAAACCTGTTGAAGATCAGGAGTGTATCGAATATCTCCTTTATCCAAGACATGTCGGCCTCATATTACTAAAAAATGAACGGAAGTTTGAAACTGGCGTATTCACAGGTCTCTAGAAGCCAACACTTTCCATGTTCAATCAAATATAGGTACCCAGAACTTCCTTAATATTCCGGGCAGGTTATCAAACACAATTACGAACAAATTCCAAAAAGATAACATTCCAATTCTTAGGAAAAAAGAACTTCCAGTTTCTAGGGAATGTTTACTCTCCAGCAATGAGACAGCCTCAGGTGAGCGCTATAGGAAACCAAGGCATGGCTTTCTCCGCCGAAGGAGAAAGGAGAGGAAAGTTGCAGAAAACCCAGATAGGTGGTCTGTAACTTTCCTAGGAATCTTGGGAGACATTGAATGGGGGGTATGACCTCTTCATTTCTCATTTTCCCACGCATCCTCTCCCTCCCTCAACCTCAACTCTTTCACTTCAACCATAGCCATATCTCAAACTCACACTCTCCACCGCAATGTTTATCTCTATCTCATGCTTTCACTCTTTCTCTACCTTGCAAAGATCTGCGCCTTATTGCTTCAGCTCAAGCTTGTCTATTTTTCAACTCAAGCTTTTTTGTTATTCACTTCAAGCTTGTTTGTTATTGCTTTGGTTCGGCTTGCTTTGAGCTTTGTTGTCAGGCTTTCTCTCGAAGCTCCAGCAATGTTCCATGCTTTCTATGTTATTCTCTATATTGATGCTTTCTCTGCTATTGCTTTGGGGCTTTTGTGTTATTGATTTTGGGCTTTCTATGTTATAGACTCAGGGTTTTTCTCTGTATGTTGACGTTAGGGTTTCTGTTATTGATTTAGGGCTTTTCTCAGTTATTAATTTTGGTCTTTCAATCAAGGCTTTTTTCTCTGTTAGGGTTTCTTGTATTATAGATTTTCTACTCGGAAATAGGGTTTTCTTTAGTATACTTTTTTTTGATGAGGGGTTTGTTGGGGCTTCTTGTGGAGGCTAGGGGTTTTTGTTGGGTTCTTAGGGAGAGAGTTGGGGAAGAGAAGAGGTATGCTGTAAGAGATTGATATTATTTGGTGGAGAAATTGTTGGGATTTAAAGAGGGAAGATGAGGAAATAGTGGATATTTTTTATGCAAAGGGAAGATGGAGTAGTTTTTAGAGTGAGAAAAAGGAGGAGAGAAAGGGTAGGGTTTGGAAATGGATGAGAAGAGCTCCGAAGGTTTGGTCAAATTGCAAAAATTCAAAATGCAGTTGTGTTTTGGGTTAGAGTAACTAACCAAGCAATACTAATACTGGCCAAACATCTAAAAAAGGTAATATACTTGCCAAACAACTAGCAACATAATATTATTAAAAATATCTTAAATTTAGACAAAAAGTTTCGTTCAAGTGGAAGGTTCAAAAGGGGCAAGGGGTAGACCCAAAAAGACATGGGTGGAAGTAGTGAGAAAAAATATGGGGACTTATGGCCTCACTGAGGGTATGGCTCTTAAGAGAGCAGAATGATAGACCAGGATTCATGTAACCGACTCCAATTAGTTGAAAAAAAGCTTTGACGATGATGATGATCCTAAATTTAGACAAAGTAACACACAGTTGATGGAATTAATTTCCACCTAAACATGCCCTTAAAGTATTGATATCTATTATTACTTTATGAAAGAGAACTTTACAGTTACATGCAAGTGATTGAATCTCTAAAATTTAATTTGCTGAAGGCTTAGATACTCATTTTGTGTGTTTGGATGACTTGATTGGGTAAATTACTTCATATTGCTAGTCTGAAGGGCCCAAATCCCTAGAAGCTTAGCGATCGGGGTGAGACTTTCCAAGGTTTTATAAAGTCCAGGTTTCAATAAAAAATGTTTGGCACACTCTTCTCATGACCCAGGCTTAAAATCACTCCATAAAGCCTGTTTTGGGGTTAGAGTAAAGAAGACTAGGTTCCCGGAAAACCTGGGTAATATTTTACCCAGGTATTATGGGAAAGCCAGTCTCTATCATTATTTATCAATAATTGTTAAGAGCCATGGCTATTAATGCATATGAAGGTGATTTTGGCATGTTTGCATATACGTTCTCAATGCTCTCTTCCCCCCCCCTCCTCTCTCTCTCTCTCTCTCACACACACACACACACGCACATAGAGCCATGGCTGTTTATGCATATGAACTTGTGACTGTGGCATGTTGCATTCATTTTCTCATTGCTTTCTCAATGCATTTTTAGAATCTATGGAACCCCCCTATTCTTTGAAGATCTTCAGATTATAAGTTTCTTGGCATAGATTTTCGGGTTGTTGCAGATGAGCGTATCGGGAGAATTGGAGCACATTTAAGCCTTAGCACTGATAAAACATTAGCAGTGCCATCAAGAACCCGTCCGCCCATTACCACACATGTTTTAGATGTTTCAGTTGGGCGACCAGGAGTTGGCATTGAGGTGAGTCTTGAGAAGTGGGAAGGAAGTGGGTCGCTAGGGTTTTCCAATGCACAAAATGTTGATGGTTGGTCACTGTTGGGTGCATCAGTCACTGACTCAGATGGCCGGAGTGGGCGGCTGTTGCCGGTAGTGGACCGTGTGCCTAATGGGTTTGTGCTTTCTTTCCCTCTCTTTCATGACCATTGACCTTGGTACTCTTGGTTCTATGTGCTTTAACCCTCTCTCTCTCTCTCTCTCTCTCTCTCTCTTTTTCTCTCTATCATTCCTTTGATTTTTTCAGAAACAAGAATCTGCTCTTGCATAGTCAATGTTTATTCTTGAAAGCTTGACCCCTGTATTTAATATACCAGATATTAATTTGGAACTGGTTTCCCTTCTTTTACATTCTTGAAAGCTTGACCCCTGTATTTAATATACCAGATACTAAATTTGGAACTGGTTTCCCTTCTTTTACATCTTTTATTTGTTACTTCCTTATATGGCTTATTTTTATTTATTTTATTGCAGGTATTATCGGATAAGTTTTAATACTGGCAAGTATTTGAAGGCGGGGTTTTTTCCTTATGTTTCGATCGTATTTGAGATCAAGGAGACACAGGTGTTGGAACATTTTCATGTTCCATTGCTGCTCTCTCCATATTCTTTCAGCACCTACCGGGGGAGCTAGGACTTCTCCATCCCTTGCATTTAGATTTCAAGTTTTCTCTCTCCCTCTCTGGTCTTGCATCAACTAGAGTTGAAAATGCCCCATTTCACCTTCACTAATCTCTCTCTCTCTGGACTTGAATGCAACTAGCGGCATAAGTTTCTGATTTCAGCTTGACCGCTGTGTGTGTGTGTGTGAAGCTGTGATGGGGTTGTGGCTTACCTGTAAACTTGGGCTGGAGGCCCCAAATTATACAAGGTGCAGTGGCTTACATGTAAACTTGGGGGCTAGATACTCCAAATTGTACAGGCTTTCTTGATGCTTGATTTCTCCAGTTTATTGAATTTCTTGTGCCTTGCTTTCGGTGGTTCTGATTAGGATTTTTAATCTCTAAGTATTGTTTTTGTTTTGGCTTGTAGGAGTTTGATAGCTAAGGACAGGTCTCAATTGTTCTTTTGAAGTCAAGTGAGAGCCTTTTCAACTGAAAGGACTGTATTTTGTTTCTCTCTAAATTAGGTTCCTATTTCATGGTTTGTATGCTATAAGAACCTTTATCTTTACCTCAGAATGGTTGCAATTATCCCTGGTTATCAATTGCAAAAGTGCGGGGCGCATAATTTCCGTGCACAAAGCTTGGGGATATGTTACACTTTTCAGGCCCCGTCAATGATAACAGCCTCGGCCAATGTTCGAAAATTTGGCGAGTCCGGCTGCAGCCAAAATCCCGAGGCGGGGCCTAGGGCGTTCTTGCTCTTAGGCACCCACCTCGGCGTAGGCAGTAGACTCAAGGCGGTCGTCTTGGAACAACTTGGCTGAGGGCAGAGAAAGGTCCCTTGGGCAAGGGTCCCTTTCCCCTCCCCTCCCTTATCAATCACTGATTTTGGCTGCACTAACGGAAATTGTGGGCTATTGGCGAACAGTTAATGATTAATTTGAAGAATTGAGTTATAATTTATGTTGATTATTTCAGAAAGATAGCTTTTTTTATTCTTTAAAACATGATTTTGAAATGATTGATAAAAAGGATCAGATGCAATGTTGTGTTAGTTTTGTGTTTTAGTTGGATGGGAGATTAATTACAAGAAAATTAAGAAATTGGTTAAACTATACAAAGAATTGTAAGAATTTGGACAAAGTACCAGTGCAATACATGATGTCATGCTACACAACAAAGAATTTGTGTGAAAAAGAAAAAAATGTTGCGTATATTCCTTCGTGTATGTGTTTGAAGTGATTGGGAATTTGGGATATTGTTGTTTGAAACAAATAAACTATTTTACGCACCAAAAAAAGAAAAAAAAAGCCCATCTTGAGGGGGTTTTAGCAAAAGTCCTGTATACTATAGAAGTATATAGTAAGACCGTTTGCTTTTGGGGCAGCTATGGTTTGTTGGAAGTCTCCCTCCGGCTTAGAGATTTCCACTGGCAATGCCACTGTCCCATCCTTTCTTAATCTAAAGGGGGCCGTTCGTATAGAGCCGAGGCTCTAAACAATCAAATTAGAGCCCACCTTCAAATATTGTCGAGAAACATAGTTTTAACATTAAAAAGTTTTGTGATAGCCTTAAATTATAGTTTTATTGTTAGTTATAAAAGTTAAAGCTTCAAAAGTAGTGTAGATTGAGTAGATCTATGATAACTTGAATATCTTGAAAATTGACGGTCTACAAAATGCACTATTTCTAAAACTTGAAATCTATTTTTTTTTCGTGTCCATGCATCTTGATGTCGAGATGATCAATTTGATAATATTTGGACATCAAGACAACATCTTCTAGTGAAAGTTTTGAGGTAGGCTCTAATTTGACTGTTTAGAGCCTAGGCTCTATATAAACTTTCCCTACTCTAAAATGTTAAGGCTACTGAACAAACTAGCAGCATTTTATGAGAAAGCGGCTCCGTATATTGCAGAGTATGATGCCGATTGCTCGGAATTCTCCCTCGTGGACAGTGATTTCGGATAAACCAAACATGCCCCTAGTGTAGAAAGGTTACAATCGCCTCTTTCTATGTCATATAGGTGGTAACGGGTCGGGCCCCACAGGACCCAAAAAAAACTTTATGGAACCCGGACTCAGACCTGACTAGACTCAATCCGGACTAGGACCCAAACCCAACCTAAAAATAAAAATATGCATATATTTAAGAAGCATGTTAAATATATACATGTATTACTTAAATATTATAACTAAAATATAGAACTATATTGATTTATATGTTAATATAATTCTGGTCGGATCCAGGTCGGGTCCACCTAGGACCCAGACCCGAATAATGTTCAGGTCCTTGTTTTGGACCGATACCCGTACTTGGGTCGGATCCCAGGTCGGGGATGGATCCATTGCCACTCCTGTCTATGACTGGAGTAGTGGCGGCTAATGTTCCAAAAAACCGACACCAAGGCTACTAGGGGTCATGGCCACCTAGGCGACTGGACAAGCGCCTAGAAACACCTTCGCCTTGGGGGTTGCAACGGCACCTTGGTTATAGCCTATTTACACCTCACCAACTTTTTCTAGCAACTTTTCCCTAAAAAAAGATGTTTTCTAGCTAATATCCCCTACATAAAAAGTTCACTAATTTTGGATGAAAATATCATTCCCTTACATAATAAATTATTTTCGTTAAAGAGGGCGGTCTGGCATTTTGAACAAGCGATCTGGAGATTTTGTTTTTGCTGAAATGGGCGGTCCAGCGTTTCAATGTAGCGGTTCGGTGTTTCAGGGGGCGGTCCGACGATTATTTTTTACTGGAATAGGCGGTCTGGCATTTGGAAGTTACGGTCCGGCATTTTGAAGTTGCAATCTGGCATTTTGAAAGGCCAGTCTGGTGTTTTGATGTGGCAGTCCGGAATTTTGAAGTTCGCCAGACTGAGTAGTCTGGCATTGTACAAATGCGGTACGGTGTTTCCTTTTATTGGGATCTAAAAATGAGGGATGGTATTTTCGTAAAAAAAGATGTAACTTTTTGAGTTGGTGGTATTAGTTATAAAAGATGGTTTTTGAGAAAAATAAATGAGAAAAGTTTAAAGTGGGGGTAGTGTCTAAAAATTATATTTTTGAGGGTTTTTAGCAATTCTCCCTTTAAACAACTACCTTGTTGGTATTAAATTGTTGACTGAATCACCTCATTAATTTTTTAGGGTATTTGACCATCAGTAATGATGTTTTCCTGATAAAACAACAAATTTATAAATATAAAATCTGGCTAAAATAAAGGTAATCACTACAGCATGATGATGCTCCACAAATATACTTGTTTGTATTTTTAAGAAAAAAAAGTTTTACTCTAATAACAAGAGATCTAGCATTACCCCTCTCCAATTTCAGTTGAAACCCTCCAAAGCATGGCCTAAGATGGGGGAAGGGTGTAAGGAGCAGGCTACGTAGGAGCTCTTCCACCTACTTTTGTTTAAGTAAACCATGCAACTAATGGTTGCATAAGGTGGTGCCATCATCCCAAGGTCTTCAAAGTCTAGTTTTAGCCAAGTTGTATATTGAATTCTTCCTTGGAGATAATTCCAAATCTCTCCATCCTTCTTTATCCACCTTGGAGAAGTAGTGATCCACCATCTCCTCACTCACTAGCTCCAATTTAGATGGCTTCCACTACAAAAACCAAACACATTTAATTTAGATAAGGGCAAGCTTTCTATACTTCTTTTATTGTATAAAACTTATATACTTCCCTATCTAACGATCCATTATGAACTGACTATTGAGATGGCCCCAATTACAACGTCATGTCTCTACACTATTTTATTTTTAAAATTTTCTACAAAACATTTTGACACCAAATTTTGGACGTCTACTACTCTCTTAAAATTGGACTTGTAAATAATATAAAAAAAATATTCCCAAAAAAATAAAATGACCAAAATGCTCCATGGAGATAATGGAACGTACCAAATTTGAGATGATGGCACATACCGAATTTAGTATTTTACCAAAAGTATTTTTAAATATTTTGTTTAGGTACACCCCATTGAGATGATGGCACATACCAAATTTTATATCCATATAAATTTTAGAAAAAAAATAAAAAATAAAATACTTTGAGACGTTGGATCTAAATCAAAAGATCAGTGGCTCATTTGATCTAATTGGATGGCTGGATGGAGGGGAGAGTATATATCTTCTATACAGTAGGGGAACTAAATCTAAAGATTAGACTAAAAAACCACTTCTTTTTATTGGTAACAGTGGCAGTGACTAAAAAAAGTAAAATAAGTTGTGAGAAAATGGAATGAATCCGGAAAAGAAAAGCAGCTATTATTGTCATTCTTGCATTGCACCTTTGGGCTTTTATCCTTGTCCAACATGATTGCCCTGGCACCCTGCACATGAATATCAGTTCTTATTTCGAATCACCATGGGATTCTACTACAGGTTTTTTAACTAAAGAACATGATAAAATATGGAAGCCTACTATTTTGTTATGAAGATGGATGATAAATGGGTCAAGTCACCTGGTCCACCTGACCAAGTCCGGTTTTGGATCCGCTAGCTAGACCAGGTAGATCAGGTTCGAGTCCAAGCCAGGCATAAACATATGTATCTCCACAAACACACGAACACACCCACACACACATATGGAAAACTCTTAAAAATACTTATAGGCGAAATTGAATAGTATTTCGACCTGCTACGAACATGCTATGTTTGTGCAATACCGCAACGGATATAGTGGGTCCATTGCGGTACCGCAACAAACATAGTGTGTCTGTTGCGGTCTTTTAATCTACGCCATCCAAAAAACTCAGACGACGCCGAGCCTATAGGTGAAAATACTATTCATTTTCGTCC